GCGTTTACATGCCACGCACCACCGGAGCATCTTGAAACCGCCCTGGTGCTGCGGTGGGACTGGGAAAGCCAGCTCTTTACAGGCTCAAATAGGAGTGGATCTTTTCCACTCCTATTTGGGCCAGGTTCAAGGCAGATTGTTCAAGGCATGTATTTGCCACAGCCTCAATGCATCTTCAAGCCTCCCCTTCTTGCCCATCTGTTCCAGCCCACAGTGGATCATAAGTGTAGGAACTGCATTAAAAATATTATCATGATGCACAGTGCTGATCCTGAGTTTGGGAGAGGAGGCAGAGTTTTGGAGAGAGGAATTTGAAATGTGACAATCTCCCATAGTACCCAACCTCAGAGCAATCAGGTTGGTCATCCTCATCGGTAACAGCTACCATATCCATGCTATAATGACAACATGACCCTATTCCTCCTCACTGGCTAATCCATTTACTCTGAGCCATAGGGGGATAGATAAGAGGCAGCAATGGGGAGGGGGAATAACAGAAGGATGACACCACTGGTTGCTGTCAGTCCTAAGGATATGGGTACCTTTTTATTACACGTTATGGGGTAGGTAAATTAAAATTGAACAGTCACTCCCATTTTTTAGCAACAATATCAGTGTCAAATGTAACATATTCCAAATAAACCTAACTTGGGCCCTTGGTTTCCAACAGGATTTGGTTCCAGGATGGCCTGTGGATACCAAATTCCATGGATGCTCAAGTCCCATTATGTACAATGCCATAATAAAATGGTGCCCTTTATATAAAATAGCAAAATCAAAGCTTCCTTTTTGGATTTTTTTTTAATTCAAGCTGTGGATGACTGAATCCAGAGATACATCCATGGATATGGAGGGCTGACTGTACATCTTCCTACTAACTGAAAAACAAAACCTTCCTGCAGAGTTTATATAGACTTTGACTCACAGAGTAGTAAACAACAAAAACAGAGCAGAGCATTCTATGGCTACCTACATATATACTATACAAACTTTCAAAATTGGAAGCTGAAAGTTAGAACCTCATTAGCAAATTTAAGCATATGTTGAGCACATGTTAAATTAAGAAGAACATTTTAACACATTTCAATGTCTTTTTACCTACCACTAATGTTGAGATCATAATCTCCTGCAGTAATCACATTAGATACTAATCCTTCAGCAGGCTGGCTAACCGTCACAACATCATTGAGAAGTTTCCGAATGGCTCCTGGTTGAGGTGGCTGAGTAATAATGTTGTTGACAGCAATTTTCAAGTTTTTGATTATATGAAGCTGATTGTTGGGATCTCTCATGTGCACTAAAATGAGAAAACAGCTGTGTTAAACTAGTATATTTAGAAATAACATTCACTGCTCCATTTGTAATATTTCTACAAAATATATTTGTTGACTACCTTCAAATATATTAACAAGATAACCAACTCTCCCCCTCACTAAATGGTCAAAATGATAATGTCTTGGGGGGGAAGCAGACTGG